TCGGTGATAGGCAGTCAATTAAGTAGCAGCTATAGATAGTGTGCCGATTTAGGCATTTATCGGATGAATGTTTAATCAGTTAGTAAAATGTTCATCATTATATCATTTTTGTCGATTCAGTAAGTACTTGCTTATATGTCGATGTCATGATATGTTATTATATTAGCTGTATATTTCAGTGCCGGTTCTGGCGGAGCACGTGGATTATTTATGCTTACGCCCCCCACTAACCATTTTTCAGGTGACGGTGTCGAGCGTGGAGTGTGAGCCGATGATGTGGTGACGGTCATAGCAAGGATATTTTTAGTAGGCATGTCATGTATAATTTAGCATGTTTTAGTTATTATGCCTTGTTGATGCATGCTTACATTTGCTTCCGCACTCAGTATTTCAGTATTTAGAATTTCAGTCTATGCATGCCTAGTGGTTTAAAGATGTTATAGATTAAGATTTAAGATTAAAGTGGAGTAGCATCCCGCATATTAAAGTTAAAGTATTTTCGAAAAAATTAATATGAGTTTTCGAAAATTAAATAAGTGCTTTCCTTGTATAGCGCAAAAAATTAACTCTGATTTTAGTAAGTTTTAGGCGGGGTGTTACATACTTGGCACACCTTCTCAATACCTCATCGAACGTCCTACCAGGTCGCTTCGCCAAAGAGTTTCTACACAACCCTAGGAGTAATCCTCTAGTAAGTCCACCCGACTTGATCTCCTCTGTGGCCGAAGGCACGTCGACACACGCCCGTGTGTACCTTGCCACATAATCTCGCAATGATTCTCCTTCCTTCTGCTGCATACCTATCAGAGTAAGGTACAATTTCTCCTGGGCTTTGACACTTGCGAATTGGTTGCGGAAACCTGAGCTAAATCCATCAAAATCACTGATAGCTCCTGGGTGTAACTGGTGGAACGAATCCTGCGTAGGCCCTCACAATGTCGTCAGGAAGGCTCGACACTAGACGGGATCATTATAGCGATGCAGCACTGCTATATTCTCGAAACTTCTCAAATGACGAAAAGGATCAGTCGACCCATCATAGCAAATATTTAGCTTTCTAAACCCTTGTGGCAAATCGTCATCCAAAAAATGTGTTGCGAGAATGGGTGTCCTCTCGAACTCTCAGTTTTTGTCCCCTCCACTCGAGCCTGCAAATCCCGCACTTGGGCCATCAGTTGTTCCAAAGTGTCCTTCATCGCCTGCGGGTTAACAGTTCTGACAGAGGACTCTTCCTCCTCCGCCCTTCTGCTCTGCCTTTCATGGGACTGTGCTTGTTGCTAGTGCTCGAGGGGTGGTTTCTCGACCTTAGGTTGCTCGATCCTAGGTTGCTCGACCCTAGGTTGCTCGACCTGTGTCTATTTGAGTTGGGCCGCCACCGCTTCCACGATCATCTTTTTCATTTCGCTCCTCGTCATCGTCAGTGTTTGTTCCTCGGCTTGGGGTGGTGGCCTCGCCCCTTGATCCATCACTCCAGGTTGCCTCCCCAGGCTCAAGGATGTCTCAGTCGATTCCTGCCCGTCGACTCTCGTGCTCGTGCCCTTCACGTGGCTAGGTCTCCCTTATGTGAGCACTTAAATTCGACAACTTCCGCTAAATCCCCCAAGGTCAAACCAGACTTTCTTGCCAAAGAGTGGAATAAATCAAAAGTCGCACCTTTTGTTCTGTGATGTTTATAATAATCAATGGAAACCATGCTCCCTTGGTGCCTTTCAACTGCATAGGTTGTTAGGAGCTACTCTACTGGCACTAAAAAACCCCAGGTGGGGTAATCGGTGTCTCTTCCTCTGTACGCGCTCCTGACGGCGCGTGCCCTGTGAACGGCGGAAAGCCGAATATCGGCAGTGTTGGTTTGGGGTTGGGGATCGGAGGAGGCCGCTTATCCGTCCATGTTCCCCTGAAATCCTCGCTCATATTCCTCTTCAATCCTTCTTTCTCCGCCATCTCCGAACAGATCTGAAACAGGTGCAAAGCTCTTGTTTCTTTAAGAACTCCCCACAGACGGCGCCAATTTGATGGGTCTACTTGGAGATCTGAAGTGAACCAGTGGTAATGCACTCCGATCTGCTCGAACCGTCTCCAAATCTCTTTTGGACCACTGCAAACACCTGCAAGAACTCAACACCGAAAGTGTTTCCGGTGAGGAGCCTCCGACGATCAAGTCAATATGGGAGTGATGAAGATGAGCTCTGCTCAGTAGGAGCAGCAGCTGAGGAAATAATAGAGAGAGTGAAACTTAGGGTTTGGGGTTACCTCACCTCCTTTGTATAGAGGCAAAACAGTTACCTAGAGTGCCCAAAATTCCCTGGCCGACTTACGTGAAGTGTCCAAAATGCCCTGGTTGGTTCGCATACCGTCCACCTCCTAGTCAGCATCCAGATTCCTTCTTATCCCCTAAAGACTTAGCTTTGTTCGGGGATTTCCTTGCGTTATCTCGATGTATAGGAGTCGTCGGAGCTCTGGCAGCCTCGTGGCAGGATAGGTCGACTTCGAGTGTCCTTAAGTCGACTCGGGTTTCT